AAAAAAAAAAAAAAAAAAGAGAATGAGAGACAAAGATACAAGAATCAAACAATAAAATAACATTAATAAGTCTGTTTCAGAGTTTATATATATACACATACATATATATAACTAACTTTCCAATCAAGAGACATACGTTCAATAAAGTGATTTATTAAAAAAATTTTGGGGCCAGGCACGGTGGCTCACACCAGTAATCCCAGCACTTTGGGAGGCCAAGGCAGGCGGATCACGAGGTGAGGAGATTGAGACCATCCTGGCTAACACAGAGAAACCCCCTCTCTACTACAAATACAAAAAATTAGCCGGACGTGGTGGTGGGCACCTGTAGTCCCAGCTACTCAGGAGGCTGAGGTAGGAAAATGGCGTGAACCCGGGAGGTGGAGCTTGCAGTGAGCCGAGATCGCGCCACTGCACTCCGGCCTGGGAGACAGAGGGAGACTCCATCTGAAAAAAAAAAAAAAATTTGGCTGGGTGCGGTGGCTCGAGCCTGTAATCCCAGCACTTTCAGAGGCCAAGATGGGCAGATCACCTGAGGTCAGGAGTTTGAGACCAGCCTGGCCTACATGGTGAAACACCATCTCTAACAAAAATACAAAAATTAGCTGGGTGTGGTGGTACCCACCTGTAATCCCAGTTATTCGGGAGGCTGAGACAGGAGAATCACTTGAACCTGGAAGGCGGAAGTTACAGTGAGCTAAGATCATGCCATTGCACTCCAGCTTGGAGGACATAGTGAGACTTTGTCTCAAAAATAAAAATAAAAATAAAAAACCAATGTAGAAAATAACCTATATGTGATAGTCCATTCTCAATTCTAAGTGCGTTAGTTTTAAGCAGGTTATATGGAAATAAAGTGATAAAGAAGCAGAGTGTACTGAGTCACCAGCTGCCTCCTTACTGCCTTCTCTTTTACCCAGCAGCCAGGTACCAATGGGTCAGGGCCCCTGCAACTACCCCCTCCCCATCCCACTAAAAAATTTAGGTTAATTTGCAACATAGATAATTGTACCATTTCTTATCAGCTAAGTGCAGCCACTAGGGCCACAAGTCAAATGTCTGAAGAGTCCTGAACAGTTGCGGTGCATTTTGGGCTGAAACAAAATGCAACAAGATAACTCAAAAGGAAACACCTAAAGCCCTTGCCAATAGGTGACATCTGGGAAGATTGTGGCCCCATAGTAGTCAGTCTATGAGGAACTGGGGGAGGGGCCTGTGCGCTAAGAGACAAATTGTTTGCTGAAACTGTGCTGTGTGTGCCTGCATGCCAGACACTCAATCTTGCAAGACTGTCATTAAGTCTCACTTTCGCTGTTCTCCAGGTCTCTGAGTCCATTCTTTGGGTTTGGATGTGTGAGTTGGTTTCTCACACCAAGATCCAACTTGCCTTTCTACAAGAGTCAGCTAAAATCTAATGATAAAAAAGGACTGAAAGTGGCAAGATGGATTTAGACATTCCATACAAATATTAACCAAATGAGAGCTGAAGAGATCAAAATAATATTACACAAGCTACATCTTAAGTCAAAAACTGTCACATTTTATAAAATATACTTTAAGTCAAAACTGCAAAGAGACAAAGAAGGACATTAAACAATAATACATTCATTTACTGGGAGCCTATGTATATATATGTGTTTGTGTGTGTTTGTATCTCACGTTGAGTTTCCAGATATATATAGCAAATATTTACAGAATGGAAAAAACACCTAGACAGTAATATAATTATGGTAGGACATTTCAATACCCAACTTTCTGTAATAAAAATAATACAAGACAGAATATTAGTAAGTGAAGAGAGGACTTGAAGGCAGTATAAAACAATTATTTCTAACAGAGGTATAGAGAAGATGCCTCAACAATATCAGGATGCATGCCCTTCTCAATAGCTCATACAACATTCTCCTTGATAGACCACCTGGTAGGCAAAAAAAGAAGTGTTAACAAATTTTTTAAAACTGAAAATTTATGAATTACATTCTAT